TCTGGCTACCTTGTGACTACCTTCTACATGTCTTGCTACCTTCTGGCTACCTTCTACATATCTGGCTACCTTCTACATGTCTGGCTACCTTTTGGCTACCTTCTACATGTTTAGCTACCTTCTACATATCTGGCTACCTTCTACATGTCTGGCTAAATTCCACATATTTGGCTACCTTCTACATGTCTGGCTACCTTCTGGCTACCTTCTACATATTTGGCTACCTTCTACATGTCTGGCTACCTTCTACATGTCTGGCTACCTTCTGGCTACCTTCTACATGTCCGGCTACCTTCTACATGTCTGGCTACCTTCTACATGTCTGGCTACCTTCTACATGTCCGGCTACCTTCTACATGTCTGGCTACCTTCTACATGTCCGGCTACCTTCTACATGTCTGGCTACCTTCTACATGTCTGGCTACCTTCTACATGTCCGGCTACCTTCTACATGTCTGGCTACCTTCTACATGTCTGGCTGCCTTCTGGCTACCTTCCACATATCTGGCTACCTTCTACATGTCTGGCTACCTTCTGGCTACCTTCTGGCTACCTTCTACATGTCTGGCTACCTTTTGGCTACCTTCTACATGTTTAGCTACCTTCTACATATCTGGCTACCTTCTACATGTCTGGCTACCTTCTACATATCTGGCTACCTTCTACATGTCTGGCTACCTTCTACATGTCTGGCTACCTTCTACATATTTGGCTACCTTCTAGATGTCCGGCTACCTTCTACATGTCTGGCTACCTTCTACATATCTGGCTACCTTCTACATGTCTGGCTACCTTCTACATATCTGGCTACCTTCTACATGTCTGGCTACCTTCTACATATCTGGCTACCTTCTACATGTCTGGCTACCTTCTACATGTCTGGCTACCTTCTACATATCTGGCTACCTTCTGGCTACCTTCTACATATCTGGCTACCTTCTACATGTCTGGCTACCTTCTACATATCTGGCTACCTTCTGGCTACCTTCTACATGTCTGGCTACCTTCTACATGTCTGGCTACCTTCTACATGTCTGGCTATCTTCTACATGTCTGGCTACCTTCTACATATCTGGCTACCTTCTACATGTCTGGCTACCTTCTACATGTCTGGCTACCTTCTACATATCTGGCTACCTTCTGGCTACCTTCTACATATCTGGCTACCTTCTACATGTCTGGCTAAATTCCACATATTTGGCTACCTTCTACATGTCTGGCTACCTTCTGGCTACCTTCTACATATTTGGCTACCTTCTACATATCTGGCTACCTTCTACATGTCTGGCTACCTTCTACATGTCTGACTACCTTCTACATGTCTGGCTACCTTCTACATGTCTGGCTACCTTCTGGCTACCTTCTACATGTCCGGCTACCGTCTACATGTCTGGCTACCTTCTGGCTACCTTCTACATGTCCGGCTACCGTCTACATGTCTGGCTACCTTCTGGCTACCTTCTGGCTACCTTCTACATGTCTGGCTACCTTTTGGCTACCTTCTACATGTTTAGCTACCTTCTACATATCTGGCTACCTTCTACATGTCTGGCTACCTTCTACATATCTGGCTACCTTCTGGCTACCTTCTACATATCTGGCTACCTTCTACATGTCTGGCTACCTTTTGGCTACCTTCTACATGTTTAGCTACCTTCTACATATCTGGCTACCTTCTACATGTCTGGCTACCTTCTACATATCTGGCTACCTTCTACATGTCTGGCTACCTTCTACATGTCTGGCTACCTTCTACATATTTGGCTACCTTCTACATGTCCGGCTACCTTCTACATGTCTGGCTACCTTCTACATATCTGGCTACCTTCTACATGTCTGGCTACCTTCTACATATCTGGCTACCTTCTACATATCTGGCTACCTTCTACATGTCTGGCTACCTTCTACATGTCTGGCTACCTTCTACATATCTGGCTACCTTCTGGCTACCTTCTACATATCTGGCTACCTTCTACATGTCTGGCTACCTTCTACATATCTGGCTACCTTCTGGCTACCTTCTACATGTCTGGCTACCTTCTACATGTCTGGCTACCTTCTACATGTCTGGCTACCTTCTACATGTCTGGCTACCTTCTACATATCTGGCTACCTTCTACATGTCTGGCTACCTTCTACATGTCTGGCTACCTTCTACATATCTGGCTACCTTCTGGCTACCTTCTACATTTCCGGCTACCTTCTACATGTCTGGCTACCTTCTACATGTCTGGCTACCTTCTGGCTACCTTCTACATATCTAGCTACTTTATGCATGTCTAGCTACCTTATTTATGTCTGCCTATCAGATGTGCGTTAAGCGAGCACCTGTCGTATGATGATGTTTTATCTCATTAGCTGATCTAGTTTATTACTAAAATACGATGATTGTTTTATCTCATTAGCCGATCGTTTATTACTAATATAAAAATAAACTTAATGCAGTATGTATCTTTGACCCTACCCCCCACCCAGCCCCAGGCTCAATTGTAAAAAACATATCAGTCAGGTAATAACTGCCAGGATAAGATCACTAGCCGTGTGTTGATGTGATGAAGGTCCCGATATCTGGACATTATTTGTTGAAATGTTATTGACGGCTGGAGGTGTGGGGTGGGGTGGTTGTGGGTGTACTATGGGTGTTATGGGGTGTGGTGGTTGTGGGGTGTACTGTGGTGGTTGTGGGGTGTACTGTGGTGGATGTGGGGTGTACTGTGGTGGTTGTGGGGTGTACTGTAGTCAGGTAGTGTGGTTGCCATGTGATGTACAGTAGTTAGTTTATTTTGTGATGTTGCCAATGTTTACATCGTGATGTTGCCACTGTTTACCACGTGATGTTGTGATGTTGCCAATGTTTACCTTGTGATGTTGCCACTTGAATACCAGGACATCACTAATGTTGAAGTTGACAGCTACTCTAAAAGCGCTTCTAATTTACGGCATTATAAAATAATTTGTGCTGCACTGTGAAATTCAGCAAATATTTGAGGGGTGGACAGAGGCGGGGGGCGGGGGGAAGGGGGGGGGGGGTGAAGTGGGAGCATCATAAATCCTTGAAATATAAAGCTATACTAATACATATATACTAATACATATATACTAATACATAAATACTAATACATATATACTAATACATATATACGAATACATATATACGAATACATATTGTATTGTAGCTCATCATTCGACTCTAAATATGTCCATTCATTTGGTTATCAACCACCCAATTGCACTATGCAACAAAATATAGTAAACCTTTCTTGCATAGACTAAAACAGGTTGTTTTTGACATAGCTATTCACTCTCCAGTGTGTAACGCCCCCCCCCCCCCGCCCCGCCCCGCTGTTTGCTGATTTACGGTGTATGTTGTGTTTGTTGTATATTTGGTGTATGTATGTTTGTGGTGTTTGTATGTGTGTGGTATTTGTTGGTGTGTGGTATTTGTTGGTGTGTGGTGTTGGTAGGTGTGTGGTATTTGCTGGTGTGTGGTGCTTGTCGACGTATGGTGTTGTTGTGTATGGTGTATATGTGGTGTATGTTCAGTAGCGGCACGACTTAAGTTGCAGCCTAAAACTGCTGTAGACAAGCCCTAGAAAGTCGACCATGTTGCTATACTTCTCACCCAGGGTCGGCGCCCGCGACCTCCCCCGCCCAACCCTTAACCTTGACCCTCATTACCCTTTATTGCATCCTGCCCGACATCTGTAATATATACATTGTCATGTCGCCGCCTCCTGCCGGAGATGATGTCGCGACCGTACGGATTGTGTTTCCGAGAGATGTTCCAGAGATCTTGATGTATAGGTTTCTTATACATCACGCTCTAATGCAAGCGTTGCTTTCAATGTAAATGGCAGTCTGCTTATTTTATTGATGAGTTCGGCCGTACTTGACCGATTAGTGAGACTAGGCTGAACCAGTCCGTGTCGTTTTATTTGACCAATTACTGCTAATTAATTAGTTATTTAACTTATACACGATTTGTTTAATTTAATAATTGAATTTGGTATATTGTCAAACGTTGCACCCTTCTGTCGAGCTGTCATTTAGGCGGACATACGTAGCTTGTGTTTACTGGACATGTGTAGCTTGTGTTTACTCGTATACGTACCATATGTTTACTGGACATACGTAGGTTGTGTTTACTGGGCATACGTACCATAGATCTACTCGTATACGTACCATATGTTTACTGGACATACGTAGGTTGTGTTTACTGGACATACGTACCATATGTCTACTCGTATACGTACCATATGTTTACTGGACATACGTAGGTTGTTTACTGGACATACGTACCATGTGTTGCCCAGAATGGACATACGTGCCTTGTGTTAGCTAATACAAAGACAAAACCTAAAAATATTTTAGTTAACAATTTGGAATGCATAAAACTTTTTTGATTTTTTTCTACGGAGCTCGTTTTCAATCTATCGGCCGTAAACCTGTAGACATTTTGAAAAACTTTTAGTGTATGGAGAGTGGTAGGGGTGAGCTGTGGCTGGGGCGGTGTGGTGTGGGGCTGGGGCGGTGTGGTGTGGGGCTGGGGCGGGATGATCGTCCGCCGTACATCTCACGTGCAGTTAAGTATCCGCTCACCTGACCGGGGTATCGGCTTTCACACCTAATCAAATACGGGCAGACACCTTCGAATGACGTAACAAAGTTTCATCAGACATCTGGATAAATAAAAATTGCCCCCGCTGCTTCTTACATCAGACTTACACTTTGAACATCTTACATGAGACGTACACTTATATTTGACCATCTTGCATGGGACGTACGAATGACGAAGTTCTAGAAGCTTCCTTTTCATCTCACCTGTTTATCCGAGCAGGATTCACCAGTTTGACCTTTCACTGTCAGGTTAGGTGCAATATACGCGGACGTGTTATTTAATATATTGACAAAATGCTTTGTTTTAATTGCCTGAATTGTTAGCGTGTTTGAACTTTGAACTTTGACCACACCCCCTGTAACTTATTGTCTTGTCCCAACAGACGGCCCTCAGGTAGACGGCCCTCAGGTAGACGGCCCTCAGGTAGACGGCCCTCAGGTAGACGGCCCTCAGGTAGACGGCCCTCAGGTAGACCAGCCCCAGTAGCCTCCCGTCAGCCGGAAGATGGACGCCAACGGCACAAAGGACCCTAAGCCGCCCTCCACGGACGTGGCCGAGAAGACCAGCGAGCTGCCCGAGACACGAGCGAGGTCCGAGTCGACCTGGACGACCCGCAGCACCATCATGAGCACCCAGCGGCCCATCTACCACACCCGGACTGTCAGGGACCAGTACCTCAAACCTGTCGAGGTCACGCCCATCAAGGTTGGTCAAAGTTCAGATACATGTCTTTTCTTTACATCATGCCCAGCAAGGTGGGTCAAAATACTAATACATGTCTTTTCTATACTCTTGTTATAGTTATTTAAAACAAGGTTGATATAATTTTGAATGTAGCCGTTAGTTATTTTATTTTTATTAAATATTTTCAATAACATTCGACTTTGAAAACACTGACACAATTTTTTTGAAGATTATATAATATACGTATTTTTCTTTTTGCTTTGACCTTTCTCTTTTGTTTTGTAAAAAAAAGTTATCAATGAAGTTGGCTGTATTCCTTCTTTTATTTTCCAAATGTTTTGCTTGCAAAACTTAAATGTATGTAACACATAGACATGCACATCTACACACAACTACCCACACACACACACACACGTACAAACATCAACCCATACACGTATCCATACGTACCCCCCCCACACGTACACACACCTACTCCACATACATACACACACCTACCCCCACACACGTACACACCTACCCCACATACAAGTACACACACCTAACCCCATACACATACACACACCTACCCCCACACGCGTACACACCTACCCCCACACACGTACACACAGCTACCCCCACACATGTACACACACTTACCCCCACAAACGTACACACACCTACCCACACGTACACACACCTACCCCCACACACATACTACGTATAGCCTCTATGTAGTTCCCACACATACAGCAAGACCCGCTACTGTACCGCTCCACCCTATGCTTTACGTTTCTGGATTGTTACACTTTTTTACTTCACTGGGTAAATGTGGGTCAAACAAAATTGCAAGGTCGTCTGAAAAAAACAACACTTTGAACTGTGTGTAGAGGGGGAGTGAAGGTGTGGAGGAATGAGTGTGCAGTAGTCGACGAATGAATGCCACCAAATCCTGTTTGTGAGATTTTAATTAAAATTTCTGCTAATTAAAACCGAAGGTCAGGGGTTAAATATTTAATGAACGGTATTCACGACCTGGATTTGTTTTTATCAACTTCTACTTGTGTTTTTCCTCCAAGAGACTGCCTCCATTGATCTAGAAACTGATTACTACTGTCTGGTCTGTTTTGTATAGGCCTGTTTGATTGCAGTAAATGGGTAGATACTTTTAATACCTCAGCTTTGGGGAGGGGTGGAGTTTGGTAGGTGTGTGTGTGTGTGGGGGGGGGGGCGGCGTCATCCGAGAATATTGTGTGACTGTAAAAGGCGAGGTCAGCATAAAAGTAAATAAAATAAAATAAACAAAAAATGTACTGGAAGAAATAAAATAAACCGGGAGTGATCTCCCCTAAACTTTCTCGAATATTCTTATATAAAATAACAGGGGATGGGAACTCGGGCTATAGACATGATTTTTAATCCATTTTAAATACTTAAAGTTTTAAAAATAGAATAAAATCTCGTAGACAAATTAATTGCACACCAAGTGAACGCGAATAAAAAAGCGCATAATAGTGCGCAATATTATTAGCACTTTTAAAATTTACATTAGTTTTTTGAGAAATCGGAAGTAGCGTAAATAAGTACTTCCGGTCAACGAAAAATTCTCAAAAATTGACAGAAGGTAGAGAATTAGATCTTTTACTTACATATCAAATTTCATTTATCTATCTGAAATAGTACTCAAGTTATAGGCTTTTGAAAAATTCAAAGTAGAAAAAGTACCACTTCCGGTTATCCGAAATCGCTCAAAAGTTGATACGGATCTACGATTTTGATAAAATACTTATATATGAAATTTCATCAACCTAGCTGTAACGGTACTCAAGTTATCGTGTTTACACACGGACACACACACACACAGACACACAGACACACAGACATACGGACAGAATTGCAGAGCCCAGTTTTTCAGACTGGAATACGCATAAAACCTTTTAATTTTGATAAATCTGGATTGATAATTTTTGCCCGATTAAAATAAGTCCTCTATACTTCGGATGTGATGAAGGACTGAGGTGTAATACGGTGAAAATAGTTAAAATTTCAAGTGATTTTTGTGCACGATTACAATACTTTCTCTATACTTCGTATATACGAGAAAGTAAAAAAATACAAGTTAAAATGGATACAATTTAAAGTACCACTCATTATTTTATTAATTGATTAACATTTTTTTTTTGAGATCCATCTGTTGGGACAACTTTAAAATATTTTTTTTAAATAGGCCCTACTACTAATGTCGAGTTTCTTTCAACAAACACGCCAATGATCACGCCACCCAATCTAAACCCAATCACCATGCAGTCCACTCAACTGAACACACGAACCAAGCGTCCAATTCCCACCAAGTTCCGGTATTTTATGAGAAACCCATTCAACCGAACACGTAAACTATCACCATGTGTGGGGTGGGTTTAAGTCTTGATATGTTTGCTTCGGATGGGATTACCCAAGTAATTGATTTTCAAATTATCTGGGATGCTCAAATCACACGAATATGGACCCATTCTAATTAATTTAATTACCCACCCTCACATATAAAGTGATTTACATTTCCAGTCCACACGGAAGTCAAGCAGTTATACACACACAAACACACAACAAAACGACAGCTGTAACAAAATTAAATCCGTAAAGACTGGATTTAAAACTGAAGCTGATTGTACTTCTTCAGGAAAAACTGATTCGCAAGGTCAAGGACTGTGGTCGTTGCAACAAGACCAAGGTCAAGAAGTGCACCATGGGCGTGTTTCCTTTCCTGCGGGTCATGCGCAGATACAACTGGAAGACGGACTTGCCCAGTGACGTCATAGCCGGTCTGACGGTCGGAATCATGCAGCTACCCCAGGGTAGGTAACCCAGAAACCTGACCGTTTGGTATCGTCAGGTATGATGTCACGAGTGTAATGTCACGAGTATAATGTCACGAGTATAATGTCACGAGTATGATGTCATGTGTATAATGTCATGTGTATAATGTCATGTCTATGATGTCACGAGTGTAATGTCACGAGTATAATGTCACGAGTATAATGTCACGAGTATGATGGCATGTGTATAATGTCATGTGTATAATGTCATGTCTATGATGTCATGAGTATGATGTCATGTGTATAATGTCATGTGTATAATGTCATGTCTATGATGTCATGAGTATGATGTCATGTGTATAATGTCATGAGTATAATGTCATGTCTATGATGTCATGAGTATGATGTCATGTGTATAATGTCATGAGTATAATGTCATGTGTATAATGTCATGAGTATGATGTCATGTGTATAATGTCATGTGTATAATGTCATGTCTATGATGTCATGAGTATGATGTCATGTGTATAATGTCATGAGTATAATGTCACGAGTATGATGGCATGTGTATAATGTCATGTGTATAATGTCATGTGTATGATGTCATGTCTATGCCACCTGTCCTAATGACGTGTGTGACCACCCCCAGGTATGGCGTACTCCATGCTGGCTGACCTCCCACCTGTTGTGGGACTCTACGTCTCCTTTTTCCCTGTCATCATCTACTACTTCTTCGGGACGTCTAAACAGGTCTCTATGGGTGAGTACATGGGGGGGGGGGGAGGGGGGAGACATGAGTACAAGGGGGGGTGGGGGTAGGGGGAAGACACGAGTGCATGGGGGGAGGGGGGGAGACATGAGTACAAGGGGGGTGGGGGTAGGGGGGAGACATGAGTACATGGGGGAGGGGGGAGGGGGAGACATGAGTACATGGGGGGTTGGGGGTAGGGGGGAGACATGAGTACATGGTGGTGGTGGGGGGTGGGTCGGACCGTGAACATTGTTTGAGGTGTTACTTAGGTGGGGGGTTTGTGTCGTGACTCCTAAACTGACTCAGGCTAATGGTAAGTTTATCTAGTCTAAGTATGCGACATGGATGTCTCCACATAACGGCTCCACATGACTACTTTAAGCCACAATTGTGTAACAATCAGATGTCTTTGTTAATTGGGCCACAACTTAATTTGTTCCAAGTAAAACCCCTGGCTTTGTTCTCCACACTCCAGCAGCGAGAGCCCATATCGCGAGTCACTACACACTCATACAATCACGTAGTGTCAACCATAATTAACATTCATTAGATTTTTGTTTGGTAACACAAGATTGGATTCATTATATTAAGGCAGGGGTCGGCAACCTTTTGAAGCGGAAGAGCCAAAAGTTACAATTTCAAAATTTCCCTGGTTTTAAAGAGCCACTAACATTTCTTAATTTCAAATATTTTATTTTTTGATTAAGATGATTAGTATTTGTGCAAGGAGCTGGAGAGCCGCATCTTGATATCAAAAGAGCCGCATGCGGCTCGCGAGCCGCAGGTTGCCGACCCCTGTATTAAGGCTTGATTGGACTCATGTTAAAATTTACGGACATGATCATGTGACATTTGTATAATTACATCTACATAAAATACGTAATTAAATGAAAGATTTTATTACGTTTTATTACTGTTTTATTTGGATCGTTTATTCGATGACGTTTATTGTTTAGCCAATGAATCTTCAAATATTTAGTAGCCCGGGGGGGGGGGGGGGGGGGGAGGGGGGATAGACGGACAGAGTAGAAGAGAGAGAGGAAAATTTATTTTAGTCAAGAGTTAATGCCCCCCCCCCCCCAAACATTTTAGTCCAGAGTTAATGACCCCCAAACATTTTAGTCCAGAGTTAATGACCCCCAAACATTTTAGTCCAGAGTTAATGACCCCCAAACATTTAGTCCAGTTATTATGGACACGAAAAATGTTTCCAGTTAATCTTGACTTAAAATTAACTTGTGGAGGGGTCACCATAGCCAGTCCATTATAAGAAGAAGCGGTGAACTTAGGTGCCAGATTATCTCCAAAGATAGGATTAGAGTAAACGACAGCAGTGATTGACACGTTTCGATGTGAGATCAATTCAAGCCACCATCTGCCCTGTGTCCAGGTACTGTGGCTGTGGTGAGCCTGATGGTCGGGAGTGTAGTCGCTTCACAGGCGACCCAGTGGAGGAAGGAGCAAGGCCTCGGCGTGGGGAAGGAGGTCAACATGACCCAGACCATGAAGGAGGCGGAGATCTCCTTCAAGATAGGGATAGGGGCGTCAGTGGCCTTCATCACAGGCCTGGTGCAGGTGAGAGTCTGGTCACACCCTGGGGTCTTATGTGGGGGTCATAGGGCACGTGATCTCAGGACACGTGATCTCAGGACACGTGATCTCAGGACACGTGATCTCAGGCCACGTGATCTCAGGCCACGTGATCTAAGGACATGTGATCTCAGCAGTGGCGTAGCGAGATCGGGTGTCACCCGGTGCGGCACTTAATGGTGTCACCCCCAGAGGCGCAGCAACCCTTCCCGGGGACAAACTTTCGATTTGCACCCCCCTCTCAAACTTTCGATTTGCACCCCCCTCAAAGTTTTCTCTATATATTTTGCTTTTTTTGCGTTGGTGTCACCCCCATAAATGGTGTCACCAGGTGCGATCCGCTACGCCTCTGGATCTCAGGACACATGATCTTAGGACACGTGATCTTAAAACATGTGATACCAGGCATTCTCAGGACATGTGATCTAAAGACAGTTGAATTAGTTCATAATAGACTGTAGTTCATATTTTAAATTATATTTATTAATGTCAATCTGTGAATACTCTCTCTATTCATTTTAAATTTTGTTAAACTTTGTTTAGCTTTAAAAATAATTTGTTTATAATAATAGTTCTGAACTCTCCACTTGCAGATCGGCATGGGTGTGTGCCGGGTAGGATTTGTGACGACATACATGGGCGACCCGCTGGTCAGTGGGTTCACCACAGGGGCTGCTGCCCATGTCTTCACCAGCCAGGTCAAGAACATCTTCGGTATCAGCATTGCCCGCTACCCCAACCTGATGAACCTCATCTATGTGAGAAACTCTTTGACAACATCACTAGGATCTGACTGCCAATCTTGCTGCATCTGTCATTGTATATCTGATTGTCCAACAACTCTCTACTCCACAGAACTACATCATGTCCAATAACTCTCTACTCTACTACATCATGTCCAATAACTCTCTACTCTACTACATCATGTCCAATAACTCTCTACTCTACTACATCATGTCCAATAACTCTCTACTCTACTACATCATGTCCAATAACTCTCTACTCCACAGAACTACATCGCCATGTTTAAAGAACTTCCCAACACAAACATCGCCACTCTTGTACTCTCAGTCGTCTGTATGATATTTTTATACGTCGTTAAAGTTTACGTCAATGACAAGTTCAAGGCCAAATTAAAGATGCCAATTCCTGTGGAACTAATTGTGGTAAGATTTATTCAATGTTCCAATCTACCATCGTTAAAGTCATTACATCTAAAGCTGTACGAGATTTAACAGTGATGGCAAAACTTTACTGACCACAAGATTACAAGTAGTACTGTTTAGAGCTGAGTTAACTCAACACTTTACTTATGCATAGTAACTGTGGGGGCTTTTATACTCAAATCTTGCCCTACTCACATATTTTGCAATGATGGTTTCTGATGGTAATTAACCTGTACACATTTTCGTGATGATGAGGTCAGATGGTAACGACGTGTGAAATGTGAAAAAAATATTTTCAGGTGGTGGTCAGTACTCTGGTGTGTCACTATGGGGAGTTCAAGAAAAGATGGGGCGTCAAAGTTGTTGGGAGGATACCCGCAGGGTAAGGATGTTATCTCTTGTAGCAGTATCACTACAGGCCTGTATCTCTTGTAGCAGTATCACTACAGGCCTGTATCTCTTGTAGCAGTATCACTACAGGCCTGTATCTCTTGTAGCAGTATCACTACAGGCCTGTATCTCTTGTAGCAGTATCACTACAGGCCTGTATCTCTTGTAGCAGTATCACTACAGGCCTGTATCTATTGTAGCAGTATCACTACAGCCCTACCATCTCTTGTAGCAGTATCACTACAGACCTGTATCTCTTGTAGCAGTATCACTACAGGCCTGTATCTCTTGTAGCAGTATCACTAGAGGCCTGTATCTCTTGTAGCAGTATCACTACAGGCCTGTATCTCTTGTAGCAGTATCACTACAGGCCTGTATCTCTTGTAGCAGTATCACCACAGGCCTGTATCTCTTCTAGCAGTATCACTACAGACCATTAACTCTTGTAGCAGTATCACTAGAGGCCTGTATCTCTTGTAGCAGTATCACTACAGGCCTGTATCTCTTGTAGCAGTATCACTACAGGCCTGTATCTCTTGTAGCAGTATCACTACACAGGCCTGCATCTCTTGTAGCAGTATCACTACAGGCCTGTATCTCTTGTAGCAGTATCACTACAGCCCTACCATCTCTTGTAGCAGTATCACTACAGGCCTGTATCTCTTGTAGCAGTATCACTACAGGCATGTATCTCTTGTAGCAGTATCACTACAGACCTGTATCTCTTGTAGCAGTATCACTACAGGCCTGTATCTCTTGTAGCAGTATCACTACAGCCCTACCATCTCTTGTAGCAGTATCACTACAGGCCTGTATCTCTTGTAGCAGTATCACTACAGGCCTGTATCTCTTGTAGCAGTATCACTACAGCCCTACCATCTCTTGTAGCAGTATCACACAGGCCTGTATCTCTTGTAGCAGTATCACTACTGGCCTGTGTCTCTTATAGCAGTATCACTACAGGCCTGTATCTCTTGTAGCAGTATCACTAGAGGCCTGTATCTCTTGTAGCAGTATCACTACAGGCCTGTATCTCTTGTAGCAGTATCACTAGAGGCCTGTATCTCTTGTAGCAGTATCACTACTGGCCTGCGTCTCTTGTAGCAGTATCACTACAGGCCTGTAACTCTTATAGCAGTATCACTACAGGCCTGTATCTCTTGTAGCAGTATCACTACAGACCATTAACTCTTAAAGCAGTATCACTAGAGGCCTGTATCTCTTGTAGCAGTATCACTAGAGGCCTGTATCTCTTGTAGCAGTATCACTACAGGCCTGTATCTCTTGTAGCAGTATCACTAGAGGCCTGTATCTCTTGTAGCAGTATCACTACAGGCCTGTATCTCTTGTAGCAGTATCACTACAGGCCTGTATCTCTTGTAGCAGTATCACCACAGGCCTGTATCTCTTCTAGCAGTATCACTACAGACCATTAACTCTTATAGCAGTATCACTACAGGCCTGCATCTCTTATAGCAGTATCACTACAGGCCTGTATCTGTTGTAGCAGTATCACTACAGGCCTGTATCTCTTGTAGCAGTATCACTACAACCCTACCATCTCTTATAGCAGTATCACTACAGGCCTGTATCTGTTGTAGCAGTATCACTACAGGCCTGTATCTCTTGTAGCAGTATCACTACAGACCATTAACTCTTATAGCAGTATCACTACAGGCCTGCATCTCTTGTAGAAGTATCACTACAGACCATTAACTCTTATAGCAGTATCACTACAGGCACAGGCCTGTATCTCTTGTAGCAGTATCACTACAGGCCTGCATCTCTTATAGCAGTATCACTACAGGCCTGTATCTCTTGTAGCAGTATCACTACAGGCCTGCGTCTCTTGTAGCAGTATCACTACAGGCCTGCATCTCTTGTAGCAGTATCACCACAGGCCTGTATCTCTTGTAGCAGTATCACTACAGGCCTGTATCTCTTGTAGCAGTATCACTACAGACCATTAACTCTTATAGCAGTATCACTACAGGCCTGCATCTCTTATAGCAGTATCACTACAGGCCTGTATCTGTTGTAGCAGTATCACTACAGGCCTGTATCTCTTGTAGCAGTATCACTACAACCCTACCATCTCTTATAGCAGTATCACTACAGGCCTGTATCTGTTGTAGCAGTATCACTAGAGGCCTGTATCTCTTGTAGCAGTATCACTACAGCCCTACCATCTCTTGTAGCAGTATCACTACAGGCCTGTATCTCTTGTAGCAGTATCACTACAGGCCTGTATCTCTTGTAGCAGTATCACTACAGGCCTGTATCTCTTGTAGCAGTATCACTACAGGCCTGTATCTCTTGTAGCAGTATCACTACAGGCCTGCATCTCTTGTAGCAGTATCACTACAGGCCTGTATCTCTTGTAGCAGTATCACTACAGGCCTGTATCTCTTGTAGCAGTATCACTACAGCCCTACCATCTCTTGTAGCAGTATCACTACAGGCCTGTATCTCTTGTAGTAGTATCACTACAGGCCTCCATCTCTTGTAGCAGTATCACTACAGGCCTGTATCTCTTGTAGCAGTATCACTAGAGGCCTGTATCTCTTGTAGCAGTATCACTACAGGCCTGTATCTCTTGTAGCAGTATCACTACAGGCCTGCATCTCTTGTAGCAGTATCACTACAGGCCTGTATCTCTTGTAGCAGTATCACTACAGGCCTGTATCTCTTGTAGCAGTATCACTACAGCCCTACCATCTCTTGTAGCAGTATCACTACAGGCCTGTATCTCTTGTAGTAGTATCACTACAGGCCTCCATCTCTTGTAGCAGTATCACTACAGGCCTGTATCTCTTGTAGCAGTATCACTAGAGGCCTGTATCTCTTGTAGCAGTATCACTACAGGCCTGTATCTCTTGTAGCAGTATCACTACAGGCCTGCATCAAAGATCTTATACCAGTGTCTCTTGTCACTAGAGAGCTGTACCAAAGGCCCCCACTTTTGGCTTGCTATAGCTGAACTATACCAGCAGCCATGTTGAGTCAGGATTAGTTTGAAACATTCTGCCGTGTCAACAGATGTGTGTTCAATTGTTTCCCCATGTACACATCGATGGGGGTTCCTTACAAAATACCCTCCTATTGTTCTAACTACACGTCCATAAGTTGCAGCACAATCAAGTTATTGATTATTATCCACTCCACACACTATTCACATTAATTAGCAAGGAATATTATTGGTTATAATTTTTCTTTAAATAACATGAATTAACATATTACTATTAACTGAATTAATTCAAATTTATTCAGAAAATAATATGTGAGTCAAATTTTAATTTAGTTTGTTGAAAAGTTAATTAAAAACTTTTGTTAGTGTAACAACTTGATGTTGAATCAAATTAAAAAGTTTGATCTATTCTTCAGCCTACCTGAACCAAGTTTCCCAACTTTTGTCAACATTGGTGAATATGGTGTGGACTGTATCATCATAGCTGTGGTGGCCTTTGCCCAGTCTGTCTCTCTGGCCGTCATCATGGCAAAGAAACATCACTATGACATAGACTCTAACAAGGTATGGCCAATAGACTCTAACAAGGTATGGCCAATAGACTCTAACAAGGTATGGCCAATAGACTCTAACAAGGTATGGCCAATAGACTCTAACAAGGTATGGCCAATAGACTCTAATAAGGTATGGCCAATAGACTCTAACAAGGTTTGGCCAAGAAACATTATGATGACATTAACAAGGTTTGGCCAAGAAACATTATGATGACATTAACAAGGTATGGCCACTATGACGTTAACCCGAACAAGATTAGCACATAGCTGGTGTTGTTAACACAGGGATTCTCAAATATATCTGGGCCACCAATTACAAGTTTTACTTAGTTTATGTCCTTGTATTTTGCGAATTCATCACACAAATTTAGTGCACGATCTCAGTGGACACTCATTTGAGATCATGCACTAAACTTACTGGCGTCAAAATTTCTATTTTTAAAAGATTATTCCACAACATGAAGACTTTTAATAAATTTTACTGATACAAAACTGGAACCTCCACTCTGATAAAAAAAAATAATGTGCAAACTGCACTCAAACAATGAACTTAGCACATTCACAACTACATCTCAAACACCTCACTAGTTCTCAAACTATTTTTCCTTAAAATCAAGACATGTCTATAGACTAAAGTTTTAGTTTTTTTCCAACATGTCTGTTATCAACAAAGTCTAAATATTAATACAGAATTTTATATTGTGTGTATTATTTTGTTGGGTCCTTATATTTGTTTGCTCTTATTTATATTATCATACTTTGTGGAAATAATCTTTCATCAACAAGATGTATGATAAAAATAGATTATACCTGCCACCCACTAATACAATTTTAAAGATTAGTGATGGCTTAAAACTATTTGTTCCAGGAACTAATTGGTTATGTGTTAAAACTATTTGTTCCAGGAACTAATTGCTTATGTGTTAAAAATATGTGTTCCAGGAACTAATTGCTTATGTGTTAAAACTATTTGTTCCAGGAACTAATTGCTTATGTGTTAAAACTATTTGTTCCAGGAACTAATTGGTTATGTGTTAAAACTATTTGTTCCAGGAACTAATTGGTTGTGTTAAAACTATTTGTTCCAGGAACTAATTGGTTGTGTTAAAACTATTTGTTCCAGGAACTAATTGGTTGTGTTAAAACTATTTGTTCCAGGAACTAATTGGTTATGTGTTAAAATTAAAATGATTTGTTCCAGGAACTAATTGGTTATGTGTTAAAACTATTTGTTCCAGGAACTAATTGGTTATGTGTTAAAACTATTAATTTTGTTCCAGGAACTAATTGGTTATGTGTTAAAACTATTTGTTCCAGGAACTAATTGGTTGTGATAAAACTATTTGTTCCAGGAACTAATTGGTTATGTGATAAAACTATTTGTTCCAGGAACTAATTGGTTATGTTAAAACTATTTGTTCCAGGAACTAATTGGTTATGTGTTAAAACTATTTGTTCCAGGAACTAATTGGTTATGTGTTAAAACTATTTGTTCCAGGAACTAATTGGTTATGTGTTAAAACTATTTGTTCCAGGAACTAATTGGTTATGTGTTAAAACTATTTGTTCCAGGAACTAATTGGTTATGGAGCTGGTACACTATTTGGCTCCTTCTTTGGCTGCTACCCAATGGCTGCCTCAGTGTCCAGAAGTTCTGTCCAGGATTCCGCTGGGGGGAAGTCACAGGTAAGGTTGGCCTAGATCACAGGTAAGGTTTGCCTAGATCACAGGTAAGATTTGCCTAGATCACAGGTAAGGTTTGCCTAGATCACAGGTAAGGTTTGCCTAGATCACAGGTAAGGTTTGCCTAGATCACAGGTAAGATTTGCCTAGATCACAGGTAAGGTTTGCCTAGATCACAGGTAAGGTTTGCCTAGATCACAGGTAAGGTTTGCTATATAATCAATGTCTAATCATAGACATGTAACTGGAGCAGCCTCTCTCTGCTAAGACTAGACTCAAATTCTACACCATTAAAACTATCTTTTTAAAATAGCTCTCTGAGTTTCTGTATATAATTAAAACTACATGCCCGAGGTAATTAAAATTAGCTGGTAAAAAAAAAACAATTCTTCCATCCACAGCTTGCCAGTTTGGTCTCAGCTTTGCTGGTGCTAATTGTTATCCTATTTATTGGTCCTTTGTTTGAAAACCTACCAAATGTAAGTGTCAGTTGGTCCTTTGTTTGAAAACCTACCAAATGTAAGTGTCAGTTGGTCCTTTGTTTGAAAACCTACCAAATGTAAGTGTCAGTTGGTCCTTTGTTTGAAAACCTACCAAATGTAAGTGTCAGGTTTAAGTAGTCTTTTACTTTGGTTGGATAAAAAGTTGCATCAAAACACTATCTAATTTTATCATGATTAACTGTAATTGGGTTAAAATGTATCATGTCAGTTAAAATTTTAATTATTAATAATTTTTTCCAGTGTGCTTTATCTGCCATTATTATCATTGCCTTAAAAAGTATGTTCATGCAAGTTCTGGAAGTGAAGACACTCTTTAAAACATCTAAAATGGATTGTGTAAGTTCAAGTATACAGACACCTTTTTAAGTTTGATGCCATTTACTGTATGGTTGGTAGTATATATGCAACTTCATGAGGTGAAGAGTTCTAATGTCATCTTGTGCTCCTCAGTTGATCTGGCTGGTTACATTTGGCTGTGTGATAATCCTCAATGTTGACATGGGTCTAGTTGCTGGCATTGGGTTTGCTTGCTGCACCGTAGTCATACGTTCACAAATGTAGGTCATTGGTCAGGCTTCTTGTTATTTGATTGATATCTGGGCCTGTTGGTGCGGATGCCATTTTGTTAATATGTGGACCTATTTGCTATAGATGTCTTTAATGTTTTTTGTATATATGTCATTTTGCAGATTAAACTTAAGAATTCAGTGTTAAACTTTGTAAAATATTTAATTAAATTTGCAATAAAGATTAGGGTAGCTAATTCCTCTATTAAGATTATACCATGTCAAAATTTTGATAAAATCTAATTAATTTTATTGTTTTACAGGGCAAAAGTCACAACCTTAGAAAAGTTGAAGGAGTTGGATGAATACAGACCAATATCTCTTTATTCTAAGGTAAAACTTCCTTGATTTTCTGTAGGGTGTAGTTGAACAAATAAATACAGTAGGTAAAACCTTGATGATTTTCCAGACTTAACCCCTGCAGGCTCTACTAGAAAACATTAATACCATCAGGTTTCTGATCTCATGTAGGTCTATGTCACATGACATTGTAAAACTTAGTATTTTATTTCTTTACAAACCTGCACTAAATTTTTAGATGAATTGAAACAAGTGTATTAGCTGCTTCAAGACCAAGATCACACAGCAGGTTATTAAAACCATGTCTTTAGCTATCTAAATATGTATTTCAGACAGATCCACATCCCAGTATTCGTGTGGTGTCATACAACTCTCCTCTCTATTTCGCCAACTCAGAACTTTTCCTCAGCCATATACACAGAGAAACTACGGTCAAACCTGAAAGAATGAGGAAAGCCCTAAAAAAACTCATGACAGCAAATGAATCAGAGAATGTACGTTCATGTTTACTTATTTTCCTTATAAAATAACATAAATGCTTATTAAACTTAAGCTACAGACTTTATAACATTCACACCTGCCATCTGTTGCAAGAACTCAAAAAATTCTTGTATTTAATGTGCTGTTCTATAAGTTGTATTAATTTCTTTTAAAATTATGTTTGTATTTAGTATCTTTTGAAAATTGACCATCAAAGTGATTTTTTGTTTAGCAAAAGTGACCTGATCCAAATTTTTTTATCATTCCTATCTTTTTGGCACGTTGGTTAGCAGCAGGCTGGATTAATGCTAATGGTCATGTGACTTGTTTAATTTTGATGGTCATGTGACTTGTTTAATTCCATCAGCTGATGAGAGAATAACCTGAAGAATATTTTGATGTGTTTTCTATTTTGTGTTTGCACACAGAGCAAGAAGAAGCTACCAGACTCCAGTATTGTGGAAATGGAAACTGTCACGCCCCAGCCTCTTTCTGAATTGTCCAATGGGGACTCTCATCCCAGTAATGCTGACATGTTGGATGGCACCAGGGTGTCTGTGATTGGCCCAGCACCCAGCCTAGACCCACGCCCATTCCTGTATCTCATTATTGATTGTACAGCTTTCACCTTCATAGATCCTGTTGGCATAAAGGTTTTAAAACAGGTTTGTTTAAAAATTCTTTGTTGGCATAAAGGTTTTAAAACAGGTTTGTTAAAAATTTTTGTTGGCATAAAGCTTTTAAAATAGGCTTTGTTAAAAATTTTTTGTTGGCATAAAGGTTTTAAAACAGGTTTGTTAAAAAAATTAACTTTGTTGGCATAAAGGTTTTAAACCAAGTTTAAATTTTTTTGCATCTACTAACACTTACACCAACAGTGTTAGTTAAATTAAGTTTTTAAAGTAATTTCATGCCACCACTATAAACAAGGCTATAGTAACTAGGTTCATTACAGTGCAGTAGCATACATTTTAATGTTATAAATTTGCTTAAATTAAACACATAAATACAGACATAATTTTTATCATTTGCAATTAGAATAGATATAAGACACTAACTCTAAAATGTAACAACAAAAATGTTGATGAAACTGGTACAAAATAGAATAAGTTACCTACCATGTCAAATTTTTTAACGCTGATGATTCTGTCTTCAGCTAATTGAGGATTACAAAACAGTTGGGATAACAACATATTTAGGTGGAGTAGGAGGTGAGTACGCTTGCTAAACACTATTGGTAATTTTTATTATAAAGGACTACATTATTACAGATGATAACATTATTATTACAAAGGTTGACATATTCTTAATAAAAGTGTTTCTTTTCCTATTATGTGTTATTCATTTTAGATCTATACTAGCCTACTAAATAAATGTTTTTTTAAAAATTATTTGTATTATTTAAAAAAAATTATTTATTTAGACGATGTTTGGTACACTATGGAGCAATCAGGTTTCACAACTAAGTATGAAAGAATTATTTTCTTGACCGTACGTGATGCAGTACTGGCAGCCGAGGAGGACAAACATAAACGGTCGCACCCCATCCCAGGATATGTAAGTCCTGTCTTGTTGTCAGATCTCTCAGTCACATCACATCTAAGGGTGCCAGTATCTGAATATCTTGTTGTTAGCGTCACCTCTAATGAATGTTTTCCCTATAGCACTTTTCAGTTCTTGCAGGTCTATGTTATTTCATCAACATAAAGAAATAAGTAAAATAAAAACCAATTAAAATAAGCCTGCTATATACCAGAAGACAAATGCTCAGTGATGTTTTCCCAGGCACCTTCAGAATGTACACTTACAGTAGCAGTACAATTAGCTTAGAGTATTTGGTGTTTTCTTCAATCTGAAGTTGTCCAATGATCTAACATCCGTTCTTCACTTTACCTTCAGTAGTTGGCCTAGAGTTAGTGAATATTTGTCTCACTATGTGTTTATGTACTTGCATGTTTCTAACTCCAATTTTACTGTTCATGTTTTGTTAACTGCACCATTCACTCACAGACTGGGAACTTTGAACTATTATTTTTATGACAGAAATTTACAAAGAAAACATAAGGTTTCACATTGTTGTTTAATATGTAAAAAAAGTATTTAGTCTATTTTAGTCTTTGATCTATTCTAGCAAAAGCAGTGTTTATGGTATTACTGATTCTTTATTGAAAAAACCCATAAAATAATTTGAATCAATTCCCTTTGAAAAGCTTAATATTTTAAGTTTCTATTTTACAGATTTAATAAAAATGTTTTTGAAACGTTTTTTATTTATTATGAAATTATTTTAAATGTAAGAATATCACCAAGCACTATAAGATCAAAGTCTGATCACCTAAAACTAATCCATGCCCTGACTAACACCATGCTTCCAGGAAACAAATGTCCCTTCCACACTAGAAAGAGAATACAGTAATCCCACAATGCCTCTTTTAATAAAAGAGGAAGAGGAAGAAAGTGAGGAAAATGGTATAGATGATAATGCTTGGACAAAAACAGAAGATGTATGACCAGCAAGAATTGTGATACAGTGGCCATCTTAGATGGCAATGAGGTTATTTACCAACTCCTGCAAATGTTGGCTTGGATTTCTTTGTTTGCATGTATTTTTAATGCTTTTTCTTAGATTTCATTTCTTTTAATTTTCTGCAAGTCACCTTTAGTTTTTTTCCCAGTTTTCTTTGTATTTCTTTTAGCAGCAATTTTCTAGAGTCGCTTGCTGGCAATCATTTTCTTTCTATACCTTTTCAGATCATTGCATATTTTTCTTTAAATACAATTTTATTTCAATCTCTAAATGTATTTTGTATAAATAGAATAACTTCCTTTTTTTTGTTTTACTGTTCTAACTCATTTGTTTATCTTTTTTCTTTACACACGTTTTTAATACTAAACAATAATAGTAGTTACAATAGGATACTAACTGAATTTGTCTAAAAATCTGCCATAAGCCTACTGCACAAATGTAAAGTTTTGAAACTGAAATTTACCACCTCTTTATTAATGGTTATTTTGCAAAATAAACATTATTTGATAAAATAATTCAATTTCCTCATTATTTATGCTCTCTACACACCACAGCCCACCTTGTAAGATTATTTTTTCTCCAAAAGCTTTCACAAAATTAATTCATGAAATGTAGGGTTAATGATTAAAATTATTAAAAACAATGTTAGTAGGTCTAATATTAATTTATTAACATAACAAAAAAAAATTTAAAAAAAAAACAATTTGTCATCATACAATCTGCATTTAACTTTGCTAATTGTAAACTTAACAAAAATATTTTAATTTTAATGCATCTTTTTTTTATTTGTTGCTTTATGTCAGTAGAATTTATTTTATAACTTCTTTTCATAACATTCAACTTATTTAAAATATTGTTATTTATATTAACAAACATTTCTGAATCCATCTGCTGATATTCTGTTAGAAGCAAAATAGTATAACAATAAAGTGCTATTTATTTAGGCCCTAATTTAAATGTTAAATTTGAATAGCCCGTTTTAAAAAAAAACTTTTTAAAGTTGAAATCTTAGAAATTAGACACGATTCCTAAATTCATTGCTAAAATGTGGTTAACAAACATACATTTAGTTTTGATTTTATTTAGTCCATTACTTAAAAATAATTAAATCTTGTCAGTTTTTCTTTGCATGTAGATTTTGTTTTCTAAGCAAATCATTTTTTTGTTTACAAATTTGTTTACTGGATTTAATTTATAATTAACCAACATAATTCTTAATACCCAATTTGCAATTAAGAAATTATATATTAGACAATGTTTTATTGATTCATTGATAAAATCAATTAAGTATAAACATTTTTATCATTAATGTTTACAAGAACTTACAACTTATGTTTCTGAAAAATTTCACTTGTCATTTAAACAGTTCAGCATAAGTTAAATAGAGCTTTATTAAAAAATGACCAGTGTGCTGCTTTAACTACTTAATTACCAACTTTTGCAAAAACAGCAAAAACTTTGTCAGAATCCAACAAGCAGATAATCATTAAATTTATTCTTTTGTTTCAGACCATCTCAGAAAAATTGTGAAAAACTAAAGACACTGATGTGTATAGAGAGCAAGATTCTGAACTTCAGATGTTTTGTCTAGCTCTTAAATGGACTAGTCAAACAATTACCTATTTGGTATAGCTATACATAATTATTTATTCAAAGGAAACATACCATATTGTATTGTACAACAATACGAAAAAGTATTGCTATATAAAAATTGTTCTGATTATAATTATTATTGATATTATATACTGTTATATTTTTTATATTATAAACATTTTAATTGCAGCCTACTTATTTGGGAACAAGTAAAATGGTTTATGATTTGTACTTTCATTAATGTAATAATTAGATGTGTAGGCTCTACTCTACCATCATTATGTAGTCATTAATGATGGATCAGGAAATAATTTACAAGTGGACTGTTACAGTATGGCACATCTGTTCTCTAGATTCTAATACAAACACATTTCAAAACTCTATTAAATAAGATTGATCAAACAGTAACCTTTCAGAAGTGTCAATCTATCAACTGGTAACCTTTGAATAATGCCAAATTATCATCTGGGTTACAGAAGATGAGAAGATCTAGTACCATCTTGAAAACTATTGTCATTTTTTATTTATCATTCAAATAATATATTTATCTACTTTTTCAAATGTTGTGATCCCTATTTTTTGAGTGTTACTTTTACACAAGTTTAAGATTACTGTTATAAATATTTTGTTATGATAAAACATTTTTGCATTTGGAAATTGTGGGAGTTAATATTCTTGTTGCTATAAATAAATCCATGGAAAATGTTAAAGATGTCATGCCTATGTATAGTTTATAAATATATAAATATAATTTTTAAAAATGTGTTGAAGCATTTAAATCCAGCTAGAGTTGTCTGTCTTGACATGGTTAGTTTAGATCCTGTACATCTATGTGGAGAGAGGGGGTGGGTTAGTTTAGGGTGGTGTGGTCAATCTATGGACATTTTTTTTTTTCTGGTATCAAAAACATGGAGCATTTTATTAAAAAAATGGTGTCAATGCTAACGGACGCAGCTGTGATAATGGTGAATGAAATATTTAAAATCTGGTGCCATGTTATTAAAATAAATATGGTTATAAAACCTGTTTTTTTAAATGGAGAACTTAAGATTGGGTGTACTTGATGTGTTGGTATTTTTGTCAAGTATACACAATTTTAAAACAGGCAAAAACAATTTGGTTGTTTATATTTGGTCATTGAAAATTTACATAAACATGGAATAACTAGGCCACATGGTTTTAAAAAAAAAGTATAATTTTATTAAAAAATTGTATCGGCAAAGTTTTGAGAACAAATACTATGAAGTGGGGTTTTCAAAAGATAAATCATGGAGTTTCTGTACAGCCAAACAATGTTTGTCTTACAAAAGTGATACTTCAGGTTATAATTTAGGCGTGATGTAAATAAATAGGAATGTAGCCTTAAACTCAATTTTTTTTTCAAGTTCTTTGTATTTGCAACTTTATAACCATAACATTGATTCTAAAAAAATTTAATTTCTGAATTATTTTCAGGCTTAGTTGCATTTTTTCACATTTTTTGGCCACTTTGATGGTAAAATCTAAACAACATGTTTTTTTATCCATGTCAACAGTAATGATCAAACCCAACTCATCTAACTTGGCTGCCTCCATTAACATAAATTAAATTTTCAACAAATGTTGATTAAAACTACACTGTTCATTAATTATTTTCTTTACTAGAGTGTAGTAGACATCTTTGTAAAATTTCTGCACAAAACAATATGTAAAGCTTAGCTTACTTTTGGTTTAATTTGCTGCTTAAGTTGTCTAATATCCAGGTCTGTTTGTATCCACATGAGGATTTTTGTGTGGATGACACTGGATACATTATAAACCACACATTGTTGCCTTAGAGTACTGTGGCCTCATTGAAGCCTATTTAGATGCCTTTTAGCATAACAACAAAGGAGTATTGTAGTCTTTTTAGTCTGGTCTCACTTGCAGTATTATACCAAGGTAATGTTCAAAGGTTCTGTTAGTCCAAAGTAGTTACCTCAGGGTAGGCCCTACAGTTAATGGGTACTGTTAGCACTCAGTGGTGGTACCCTAGGCTACTGTTACCTGGTAATTAACTAGGGTACTGTTACCATGCCATACTATAATACTATAGTCATAGTTATTGGGCTCTAGGGTACTACTGTTACAGTTATCTCAGTGTACTGTTAAGCGGGGTACTGTTGGCCTTGTAACTAATTAAGATATTGTTCTGACATTCCATTCCTTATGGACAGAGAAAGACCAATCTGAGAAAATCCAGTATTTTGTAGACAATATCCAAGAATTTCATTCATGTCTTAGATTTTGTTCAGACCAACTTTAAAAATGTACATACAATCTTTTTACATGATTTAAAATCTTGCACGCTAACATACCCAGTGAAACTGTTTAACATGAGCTTATTTTGGCGATGTAAAAAGAAATGCAACAATTTTTCTACTTAACATATAATTTATTTCAAACAATATGTTGACTGTATCATGCTGTGTCATATGGGTTATTTCTGTGTTCGATTGTTGCACAACCTGCCATAATTCAGTGTATCATGTGATTTTTATGCCACGTGATTTTATGACACGTGATTTTGTGTCATGTGACTGTTTTGTTACTCCAGATTTTTATTTATCTACTGTCACATCTTCGGCTTCTGTGATGTATTTTGGCGTGGTACACACCTAAGGCATATTCACGCACACACACACACAGCAGCCTACACATTTACACAGTATAGATTTACAAATTAAGGCTTACATAAATACACACATGACACATGTAAACACACGTACGCTGTTACACTTGGTGGATTTAATTTTTATCGAATAGATATAATTTTTTCCACTGTTCATAGGCCTATATTAAAGTTGATTCTATGTTGACGTCAATATCAGGTTTTTAAAATCTTTAAATTATAATTGGTTTTCTTCAATAACGAGTAAACATCAATAAAAAAAATAATTTCTGCAGTTGATACAGAATGTTTGTTTTAAAAAATAGTTTTGGCTTGTTTCTTGCATGATTTCCCGCTTATATATATATATATATATATATATATATATATATATATATATATATATATATATATATATATATATATAAATAAATAAATAAATTTACTACTATAAACAAAACACTGTCAACTCCGTCAGTTGTATTCACTCATCCAATAAAGCTGATCTCCCCCCCCCCCTACCCCCCCCCCCCCCCCCCATTAAATGTCGACTCTGCCCTTACATTTATATATTTATAATTAATATTAACTAGACGACAGAATTAAAAAAAATATGTGTAGGATTCTTAGAGAGAGAATAGAATTAAATGTTTAAACCCTCTCGCTAATCAATGTCACATGTTTAACGCACACACACAATCTCCATACAAGTTGGGGTAACCATGCCCTAATCGTGATAATAGTCACTTAATAGTGATATACGTAAACAAAGACTGTTGCAATGTATCAGACAACTCGTTGAGGCGTTCATAAAGCATAACAAACGAAGCAATAAAAAAAAAACAACGAACGAAACAATAAAAATACAACATATGAAACAATAAAAACACGACAAAAGAATTAATAAAAACACAACAAACGAAAGAATAAAAATACAACAAACGAATTAATAAAAAAAAATTCATAAAAAACGTTTTAATAACAAAGGTCCCCACACTAACTGTTGAGCCACCCACCATCAAAGGCCCCCACACTGCCCACTAAACCACCCACCATGAAAAGTCCTCACACCAACTGTTGAGCTCCCCACCCCTGGTCTAAACTTCGCTTCCCCTCATCTTGAGGTATCTGCCGACGTCAAGGTCCAGCTGGGCGGCGTCGTACCTGTCCCTCTCGAACTGGTTCATGGAGCTCAGGTAGCGCTCCTTGTCCTTCTTCAGGGCAGGACCCCAGTTTTTGGCCGGCTGGCTCAATTTTTTGATTTTCTGAAGGAGAAAATTCTTCGATGAATCATTTTAAATTGAAATGAAAAAGTTATTTCTTTATTACAAAAATGTGCTGATTAATCAAGGTCAGATGTGAGTGGATGTAGGTAAAAATTTGTTTAAAGCACACAATGCAGGGCAGAAAGGGTCATCAATATGTGCAAATCCCCCTTACCTGCCAGAGAAAACCCCTGCATAAAACCATCTTACCTGCCACAGCGAACCCCTACATGAAAACCCTCTCACATGCCTCATTGAACCCCTGCATGAAAACCCTCTCACCTGCCACAGTGAACCCCTGCATGAAAACCCTCTCACCTGCCACAGTGAACCCCTGCATGAAAACCCTCTCACCTGCCACACCGTTCCTGTCGGCTCTTTCCACACACTGTAGCAGGCGACAAGAGGAAGAGGAATGAGAGAGCAGACGCCAAAGCTCCAGCCGATGACGATGGCCCATGCTGGATAGACGTACGTTCCATAGGAAACAGGCTCCAGTTGGCTGACACTAAAACTATAAATAAACTGAAATTTCAAGAGAAAAGAGTAAAAATTACAGTCAGGGACAACAAATCTTTAATAAACTAACTAACGAGTCAGGCGTTAAAACTTCGAGTCTTCTCTTCAGGCAACCACTGGCGAAACTAGAAGATAAAGACCCCCCCCCCCCCCCCCGCCTATGTGAACTATACATAAGGACCGTGACTTATGTTTTTAATAAGCAGCATTAAATATCTATATGCAAATATAGACGTTTGAGAAATAATTATCAACACATAACCTTAAACTTAACACTTAAGTTAACAATAACCACAACCAACCGCATCCAAAACCAAAATACAAACGCAAACATAACGCAAACACAAACGCTAAAACAAAAAGGCAAATACAAACACAAATGCAACGCAAACACAAACACAAACACAAAGACATACAAAAACGCAAACACAAAAGCCAACACAAAAAGCAACACAAACATAAACGCAAACAATAACGCAAATGGAAACAAAATTTTGAACATAAAAGACATTTAAGAATGACGGCTTCTAAACTGTTATTGTTAAAAAATAAAAAAATGTCTGCATTTTAAACTTTTATAACATTGATTCTTAAAATACTAAATTCCTGAAAATCTTTCAGGCTAAAGTTTATTTTAAATTTTTTTATTTTAACGGCCTCTTTGATAATGTTTTCACATCAATGACACCTCGATGGAATCTTGATTAGTCTTCACACGTCTCCGTTTATTGATGGAATTTTCCAATTTTTTTAGGTGAGTAATTTTGTGCCTTAGCCGCCATATTGATACGTGCCAGTTAATTAGTTGGCATAACTATGTAACGGCTAGAAATTGTTTTTTTTAAAAAGAAAATGCGTAATAAAAAACTCACCAAAATTGTTATTGGTGTGACGAATTTCCACATAAAACCCCAAAACTTCGACGGCCGATGCCCGATCATAAGTTCGATATCTTTAGCGAATCGATCGTTTCCGTAGATCCACGTGATAACCATACATTCAGTCAGTGACAAGATCATGAGGGAAAAGGCGGATGTGTACCAGTCAACTATCTGTAGGACGTAGACCCCGCCCTGTAAGGTAGACATGAACCAATCAACTAGGACGTAGACCCCGCCCTGTAAGGTAGACATGAACCAATCAACTAGGACGTAGACCCCGCCCTGTAAGGTAGACATGAACCAATCAACTAGGACGTAGACCCCGCCCTGTAAGGTAGACATGAACCAATCAACTATCTGTAGGGCGTAGACCCCGCCCTGTAAGGTAGACATGAACCAATCAACTAGGACGTAGACCCCGCCCTGTAAGGTAGACATGAACCAATCAACTAGGACGTAGACCCCGCCCTGTAAGGTAGACATGAACCAATCAACTATCTGTAGGACGTAGACCCCGCCCTGTAAGGTAGACATGAACCAATCAACTAGGACGTAGACCCCGCCCTGTAAGGTAGACATGAACCAATCAACTAGGACGTAGACCCCGCCCTGTAAGGTAGACATGAACCAATCAACTAGGACGTAGACCCCGCCCTGTAAGGTAGACATGAACCAATCAACTAGGACGTAGACCCCGCCCTGTAAGGTAGACATGAACCAATCAACTAGGACGTAGACCCCGCCCTGTAAGGTAGACATGAACCAATCAACTAGGACGTAGACCCCGCCCTGTAAGGTAGACATGAACCAATCAACTAGGACGTAGACCCCGCCCTGTAAGGTAGACATGAACCAATCAACTATCTGTAGGACGTAGACCCCGCCCTGTAAGGTAGACATGAACCTATCAACTAGGACGTAGACCCCGCCCTGTAAGGTAGACATGAACCTATCAACTATCTGTAGGACGTAGACCCCGCCCTGTAAGGTAGACATGAACCAATCAACTATCTGTAGGACGTAGACCCCGCCCTGTAAGGTAGACATGAACCAATCAACTATCTGTAGGACGTAGACCCCGCCCTGTAAGGTAGACATGAACCAATCAACTAGGACGTAGACTCCGCCCTGTAAGGTAGACATGAACCAATCAACTAGGACGTAGACCCCGCCCTGTATGGTAGACATGAACCAATCAACTAGGACGTAGACCCCGCCCTGTAAGGTAGACATGAACCAATCAACTAGGACGTAGACCCCGCCCTGTAAGGTAGACATGAACCAATCAACTATCTGTAGGACGTAGACCCCGCCCTGTAAGGTAGACATGAACCAATCAACTAGGACGTAGACCCCGCCCTGTAAGGTAGACATGAACCAATCAACTATCTGTAGGACGTAGACCCCGCCCTGTAAGGTAGACATGAACCAATCAACTAGGACGTAGACTCCGCCCTGTAAGATAGGCATGAACCAATCAACTAGGACGTAGACCCCGCCCTGTAAGGTAGACATGAACCAATCAACTAGGACGTAGACCCCGCCCTGTAAGGTAGACATGAACCAATCAACTAGGACGTAGACCCCGCCCTGTAAGGTAGACATGAACCAATCAACTAGGACGTAGACCCCGCTCTGTAAGGTAGACATGAACCAGTCAACTAGGACGTAGACCCCGCCCTGTAAGGTAGACATGAACCAATCAACTATCTGTAGGACGTAGACCCCGCCCTGTAAGGTAGACATGAACCAATCAACTAGGACGTAGACCCCGCCCTGTAAGGTAGACATGAACCAATCAACTAGGACGTAGACCCCGCCCTGTAAGGTAGACATGAACCAATCAACTAGGACGTAGACCCCGCCCTGTAAGGTAGACATGAACCAATCAACTAGGACGTAGACCCCGCTCTGTAAGGTAGACATGAACCAGTCAACTAGGACGTAGACCCCGCCCTGTAAGGTAGACATGAACCAATCAACTATCTGTAGGACGTAGACCCCGCCCTGTAAGGTAGACATGAACCAATCAACTAGGACGTAGACCCCGCCCTGTAAGGTAGACATGAACCAATCAACTATCTGTAGGACGTAGACCCCACCCTGTAAGGTAGACATGAACCAATCAACTAGGACGTAGACCCCGCCCTGTAAGGTAGACATGAACCAATCAACTAGAACGTAGACCCCGCCCTGTAAGGTAGACATGAACCAATCAACTATCTGTAGGACGTAGACCCCGCTCTGTAAGGTAGACATGAACCAATCAACTATCTGTAGGACGTAGACCCCGCCCTGTAAGGTAGACATGAACCAATCAACTAGGACGTAGACCCCGCCCTGTATGGTAGACATGAACCAATCAACTAGGACGTAGACCCCGCCCTGTAAGGTAGACATGAACCAATCAACTATCTGTAGGACGTAGACCCCGCCCTGTAAGGTAGACATGAACCAATCAACTAGGACGTAGACCCCGCCCTGTAAGGTAGACATGAACCAATCAACTAGGACGTAGACCCCGCCCTGTAAGGTAGACATGAACCAATCAACTAGGACGTAGACCCCGCCCTGTAAGGTAGACATGAACCAATCAACTATCTGTAGGACGTAGACCCCGCTCTGTAAGGTAGACATGAACCAATCAACTAGGACGTAGACCCCGCCCTGTAAGGTAGACATGAACCAATCAACTATCTGTAGGACGTAGACCCCGCCCTGTAAGGTAGACATGAACCAATCAACTAGGACGTAGACCCCGCCCTGTAAGGTAGACATGAACCAATCAACTATCTGTAGGACGTAGACCCCGCCCTGTAAGGTAGACATGAACCAATCAACTATCTGTAGGACGTAGACCCCGCCCTGTAAGGTAGACATGAACCAATCAACTAGGACGTAGACCCCGCCCTGTAAGGTAGACATGAACCAATCAACTATCTGTAGGACGTAGACCCCGCCCTGTAAGGTAGACATGAACCAATCAACTAGGACGTAGACCCCGCCCTGTAAGGTAGACATGAACCAATCAACTAGGACGTAGACCCCGCCCTGTAAGGTAGACATGAACCAATCAACTATCTGTAGGACGTAGACCCCGCCCTGTAAGGTAGACATGAACCAATCAACTAGGACGTAGACCCCGCCCTGTAAGGTAGACATGAACCAATCAACTAGGACGTAGACCCCGCCCTGTAAGGTAGACATGAACCAATCAACTATCTGTAGGACGTAGACCCCGCTCTGTAAGGTAGACATGAACCAATCAACTATCTGTAGGACGTAGACCCCGCCCTGTAAGGTAGACATGAACCAATCAACTAGGACGTAGACCCCGCCCTGTATGGTAGACATGAACCAATCAACTATCTGTAGGACGTAGACCCCGCTCTGTAAGGTAGACATGAACCAATCAACTATCTGTAGGACGTAGACCCCGCCCTGTAAGGTAGACATGAACCAATCAACTAGAACGTAGACCCCGCCCTGTATGGTAGACATGAACCAATCAACTATCTGTAGGACGTAGACCCCGCCCTGTAAGGTAGACATGAACCAATCAACTAGGACGTAGACCCCGCCCTGTAAGGTAGACATGAACCAATCAACTAGGACGTAGACTCCGCCCTGCAAGGTAGACATGAACCAATCAACTAGGACGTAGACCCCGCCCTGTAAGGTAGACATGAACCAATCAACTAGGACGTAGACCCCGCCCTGTAAGGTAGACATGAACCAATCAACTAGGACGTAGACCCCGCTCTGTAAGGTAGACATGAACCAATCAACTAGGACGTAGACCCCGCCCTGTAAGGTAGACATGAACCAATCAACTAGGACGTAGACTCCGCCCTGTAAGGTAGACATGAACCAATCAACTAGGACGTAGACCCCGCCCTGTAAGGTAGACATGAACCAATCAACTAGGACGTAGACCCCGCCCTGTAAGGTAGACATGAACCAATCAACTAGGACGTAGACTCCGCCCTGTAAGATAGGCATGAACCAATCAACTAGGACGTAGACTCCGCCCTGTAAGATAGGCATGAACCAATCAACTAGGACTTAGACCCCGCCCTGTAAGGTAGACATGAACCAATCAACAAGGACGTAGACCCCGCCCTGTAAGGTAGACATGAACCAATCAACTATCTGTAGGACGTAGACCCCGCCCTGTAAGGTAGACATGAACCAATCAACTAGGACGTAGACCCCGCCCTGTAAGGTAGACATGAACCAATCAACTAGGACGTAGACCCCGCTCTGTAAGGTAGACATGAACCAATCAACTAGGACGTAGACTCCGCCCTGTAAGATAGGCATGAACCAATCAACTAGGACGTAGACTCCGCCCTGTAAGATAGGCATGAACCAATCAACTAGGACTTAGACCCCGCCCTGTAAGGTAGACATGAACCAATCAACTAGGACGTAGACCCCGCCCTGTAAGGTAGACATGAACCTATCAACTAGGACGTAGACCCCGCCCTGTAAGGTAGACATGAACCAATCAACTATCTGTAGGACGTAGACCCCGCCCTGTATGGTAGACATGAACCAATCAACTATCTGTAGGACGTAGACACCGCCCTGTAAGGTAGACATGAACCTATCAACTAGGACGTAGACCCCGCCCTGTAAGGTAGACATGAACCAATCAACTAGGACGTAGACCCCGCCCTGTAAGGTAGACATGAACCAATCAACTAGGACGTAGACCCCGCCCTGTAAGGTAGACATGAACCAATCAACTAGGACGTAGACTCCGCCCTGTAAGATAGGCATGAACCAATCAACTAGGACGTAGACTCCGCCCTGTAAGATAGGCATGAACCAATCAACTAGGACGTAGACCCCGCCCTGTAAGGTAGACATGAACCAATCAACTAGGACGTAGACCCCGCCCTGTAAGGTAGACATGAACCAATCAACTAGAACGTAGACCCCGCCCTGTAAGGTAGACATGAACCAATCAACTATCTGTAGGACGTAGACCCCGCCCTGTATGGTAGACATGAACCAATCAACTATCTGTAGGACGTTGACCCCGCCCTGTAAGGTAGACATGAACCAATCAACTAGGACGTAGACCCCGCCCTGTAAGGTAGACATGAACCTATCAACTAGGACGTAGACCCCGCCCTGTAAGGTAGACATGAACCAATCAACTATCTGTAGGACGTAGACCCCGC